AAATTTAATAAGGCATGTGATAATTATTTTCGAGTTTGGAAAATGTATGCTTTATTACATTACTGTCTTTGTGCGTCTGTCGAAACGGGGTATCAAAAATTGGTTTGATTGGCATTTTTCTAATGTCAGTTTCGGTTATGTCTCCTGGTTCGCCGAAGGTATGACTGCTGAAATGTGTGAACTTGAGCCTCGCAAAAGCTGGACAATGGGGTAGAAAGTGTCTGGATGGTTCCTCCCCACCTTTATCCATACAAATTTGACAGTTTGCCTCCGACTGGATTTTAAGTCTTACAACATATATGCCTATTGGACAATATTCATTAAGAATACCTACGATTGCGGCAAGATGAACTTTGCTAAGGACAAGTAGTTTAGTAGATCTACTACTCTAGGATAGTCGTGCAGTCGCGCAGAGCAGGGCGTATGCGAGTATTATCAACGCTAGTGTTGCCGTTCTGCTGTCGAAAAAAATGCTCACCTCTGTGAAAGAAGCACTAAGTCTAAGCACTGAACTTCGGAGCACTAAGTCTACTGCTAATAGCAGTCACGACAGTTCTACCCTCCAACCTTCCACCCTAGCTTCTATTCATTAATGAAAAAGCTCACCAAGTCTCTTCTCCTATGACTTTTTTCCGGAGAAACAACCACCAGGAGTAGCTTCTACGACACAGTGGTCCAAGTTTTCAGAGATGTAATTGAAGTGGGAAAAAATTTAAGCGTGACTTTTTGGAAGGTTATTCATACAAGATGGAGTTGTAATGGGTTGGAAGCCTCTAGATCATGGAATACTGGGTCAATGTTATAACGGTTTCGTTTTCCAGCGTTTGTAATATTTGAAATCGCTACGATACGAATACATTCCTCTAATGATATTACCAAAACAAATTCATCAAGCAGATCTTCCCACTCATATATTCGTAAAGCCACGGTAATGTTTTCCCATTGAACTAAGAATGCTTTAAAACTCACTAGCTACAATAACTATTTAGTATTGAGATTATTTACAGTTACTCAGTTTTAAACGACGGGTATCGGAAAAGAACTAATGCAACTGTCTCTTTAAGAGAGTAAGCAAATGCTACAATCTATAAATTTTTAAACGGCAACCCACTACTAGCTTACTTTGTGTCATTTGTAAGCATAACTAGACCTTTCGAATACAACTATACACACATATTTTTAAGTACTGGTATAATCTGAAAAACTCACAACACATTTGTCAACCTCAAGAAGTGGTTGCCTTAGTGGCTGCCGCTCGGCAACTTTAATAGTAACATTGTGTGCTTGAATAAACGGAAATAAATGCATACAAATGTGTCAAAGAGAGACCCATACGCACATATATACACACACTACTACACACACAAAGCTTGTGTTATATATATTTAAGCTGCAATATATGGAAATTTATTTATACGCCATGAATATTTGGCTGAGAAGTTAGCTGAGCAACCATACGCTATACAGTAAACAGTGTGAAGTTGTTGCACGTTGCAAGATGTTTCGCACTGCGTTTTGCTTGGTTGCATGGATGAATAATTGCTGAGCGCTTGTCATTGATGTATGGTAGTGGATACAGCTGCGCTTATTTGGAACGAAAACGAAGAAACGAAGACGATGAATGCGTACCAAATTTTGGAAGCGTGTAAAGAAACGTGATTCCTTAAATAAATATATATATATAGCATATATACATATGTATTAGGGAAGGAAATTAATATTTTTCAAAAGGTACCGTGAAAATATTTATTATAATTTTTGAAAAAAAGTTTAAAATTTATATGATTTAAGGTTGACTTTGACCACAAACAACTTTTGAATGAGTCGACATAGCAAAAGATTGTAACGGACCTTTTTGTAGATCATTAAGTTTGCAACAAGAATATATTTTAATTTGTACTCTAAAAAAATCTGTTCATATACATTAGACATCAAAAAAAAAAATATATAAAAAATATTGCTGTGTTATTCATGTGCCGTTCATATTAATATTAAGACCTTAAACTTTAGCAATTCGTCATTTCGGATGCTATTTTCACGGTAACTGAGGAAAACAGAATAAAATTTCTATTTTGTTTATATAATATGTGTATATAATATTTTCTACCCGAACTGGAGTCAGTGTATTTATTATGGGAAAGTATTGAGCACTGACTTAAAGCGCTTTAAATAGGATACCTGCCACCTTGTTGTTGTGGTATATATGTTAGAGGAAAATATAAAATATATTCTTGGCATAAAACTCTTCCTCACGTTTACGCAATTTGCTTTCTTCTCATCCCTTAAATTGGCTGGTAAAACTTGAAGAACTTACTAACCAACCAAAACACACACGCACGCGCAAGTTTTAGAAAACTTGTGAAAATTATTTTAAAGTTATTCTTAACACATTGCTCAAATATACCAAATATCTTCAAAGCGTTTTGTTTTAATTTCATTATACCCTGAACCGGGTATATTAAGTTTGTCACGATGTTTGTAACACCCAGAAGGAAAAGTTGAGGACCTTATAATGTCTATATAAATATAAATGTCCGTTATTGAACCACTATAATATATAGCTGCCACACAAACTGAACGATCGGAATCAAGTTCTTCTGTGGAACCTTTTGTATTTGTGAAGGGTATCATAGCTTCGGTGCAACCGAAGTTAATGTTTTTTCTTGTTTTGCTTTACTTTCATTTTCCGAGAAGTTTGTGCACAACAAAAACCACTCCGTTGTCCACTTGTTGAAAAGATTCAATCTGCTTGAGAATTTGCTCGTATTTTCGGCTTTGTGGATTAGTTTGCACACTGCTTACAGTAGTTACACAAACACTTATACTAACACTTATATATTTACATGGCTTGCTCTGAAAGCTTTTAGCAGCTAGCTGCTGTTTGTTTTAGCTTTTTGGCTTCCTTGCTTTGCCTTGCTGGGCTTTGTGTTGACATTGTTGTACAAGCTGGCTTTATTTAAATAATCTTCAGTCATTCTGAAAGTCAATTGTTAGATTTCGGCAGTATTGGGGATTATTGCCTAAGCTACCGCTGAGTGAGCTAAGGAGATTTGCCATTATAGCGATAATATTCAAGGCGTACGCGTTTATTTTATTTGATAAGATGAATATACCATAACACAGGACTTTTGCAATATAGGACAGCTGAATAAATAGCAAATGCTATGCACATTACATTGCTGCTAGTTCTAAATATTATATAAATAAATATATATACATTTTTATAAATTGGGCAGTTTTACCAAATTATCAAATTCGGTCTGACAAAAAAACAAAAAAAAAAAAAAAAATTTTTTATGTATTTTAACGCTTGCTAACGGGTTATGGGGACAGGTGCTTCACAGAACAAATAAAATGATAAACAATCCTTCTCCTTGTACAATAGTAATAACATCGTTAACGATTATTTTATATGTGGTCCATTTTCATAACACGCTATCCAAAAAGCTTCTGCTCCCCTTCTGCGACTGTAAGGTTACACTTGTTGCTTCCTTCTCTGTATTTAATCTGTCACACTTGAGCCAAATATGCTCGGCTGCCTTAAGATGTCTAGCACATCGCGTCTGCTGTGAGTCATCTGCACTGCAGTAGTCAAATTTGTACAAATACAGAAGCAGAGAGATAACGAAACCGAAAAGCCATCTTTTCCACAGTTTCTAGTACATCAAGCTTTGTCATATAAATATTTAAATACTGCACTCTTATAACTGAAACCAACAATGCTTTTTAATCAATTTATGCTCACGAAAGCTTACGGTCAAGGATTTGTCTGGGCGTCGACGCCGAAAGCAAAGAAAGGCAAGTCTCAGCAAACAAGTGAACTTTCATAAAATCATTCTCACCATTATTATTATGCCACCAATGGCACCTACGCTGTCGTAACACCAGCACGAGTATTCAACATATATAGAAAATAACAAAATAATACAATAATAACACAATGTTGGCTGCTCTTGACATTGAATTTGCAGCAAAACCATATTGTTTCGTTATTTCATTTTCTTATTTTTTTTTTGTATGTATGTGTATGTTTCTTATTCCACGTATTTTCACATGGACTTCTTTACACTTTCCCTGCTTTCAATACGACTCTTTAATGGCGGCCTTTCCTCCCTGCTTTCGCTTTGCCTTCCGGCGCGGCTACTTGTTTCGGTTTCGACCACTCTGGCAGCCATAAAGTATAAACAAATTAAAGTTTTAATTAAATTTACGGCTGCATGCTTGTTACTAGAAGTTTTCTTTGCAGAAATAGCGCGAACATTTTCAATATTTATTGGTTCCATACACGAAGAAACTTTCAGATTTACAGCTTGCTGTAAAAGTAATTGGGCACTTGTAAGGGAGATGGCCAATTAAAGGTTTGTTGCGAAATAAAAACTTATAACAGTTAAGTTACGTGTGTATCTAGATAAAGGGAATTATATGGAAAGTATTAAAGCGAGTTGATTTGCGGATTGGTAAAAACTCATGGGTAAAACTCATGTAATTTCGGTTTCACTTTTTATTTATTTTTTATTTTATTTTTAATTTTGTTAAATATTATATTACATTACCTAGTACTTTCAGAGAGCTCTACATAAAGCCTTCTACTACATGGCTCTTCTAATGCAGAGATTGGCTCGCTCTGACACTATTGAATCGGCTGAGAGAGACATAAGTTGTTCATAAGAATTTCATGAGGAAAAATTTTCCATCAAAGATCTTGGTTTTGAACGGTCAGTTTGTATGACAGCTATTCCCACAAATGAACAGTTTATTGAGGAGATAAGGACGTGTGCAAAACTTCAGATCGATATCTCAAAAACTGAGTGTATAGTTCGTGTATATACAGACAGAAGGACAGACGGTCATGGTTAAATCAATTCTGCTTGACACGCTGATCACTTTTATATATACTTTATAAGGTATCCAGAGTTTTCTATCAGATATAACAAAATGCGTTGCAAACTTAATATGTAGATTCTATTCAGCGTAGAATTATTAATAACAAGATGGTATTATTTATGAGGGAAAATAAATCATCTTTTATTTTGAATTAAAATTTATATATATTGATCTTAAAAACTACCAAACTCACTTCTACTTATGGAAGTTTTACAACTCAAAATAATTCCATAGCTTAATCCAGATTTGCCACTTTTCATCCTTGTCACTTTCGTTGTATTGCTGGTGCAAATTCACCAACCCAGCGTCCAACTCCCGCTCCTGGGCTGTCAGTGTTGTAATGAAATCATCAAAGGCCTCACCAAAGAAAAAGTTAAATCTTTGCAACTCAAATGCCAGCTTTTTCTGCTTCTCTACAGCGCTCACTAATTTAATATTCGCTTGAGAAATTAATTCGCCGATTGTGTTGGTCACGAAGCGTACTTCATGTGCGTCTAACGGTTCATTGATTAAATTTATATTTTCAATTTTATTCAAAGCGTTCTTTAAAGCCGTGAATTTGTTGTTATTTGTAACACTTTGCTCTGGCTCAGCTTGCAAGTCAGCTAAAATCACTTTAATTGCCTCACGTGAGAATTGCGCAAATGGCTTTTCAAATTCCAACAACACTTTATGGCGTGCGTTTAAATCGAGTCTACTACTGTCGGGGTGACCATTGTCTCCTATGTTGATTTCTTCCTTGGTTTGCACAGGAATAGCTGGGCTGTTAGCGATCAGCTGAAATTAAATGAAGTGAGGTTTGACTTAGAATATGTATTTATACTTAGTATTTATCTAAATAATTTTATAAAAATATGTGTGAAAGTATATTTTTGAATATTTAGCTAAATTACCTGTATCACGACGAAAGCCAATAAAAAGTTTATGCCTAAAATTTTATTCATGGTTACTTTGTTGTAGTCACCTGGTCTCACTGCAATAAACTTAAGAAGATAAGTGACTAGAAACCTATCAATACACTTCATTTTATACTCACTTGTCTTCAATTATATTGCGTTTCCAATTAATTGACTTCGATAATTAGCTGTAAAATTCTTAGTTAAGAGTAGTTCCAGCGAAAGTACTTGTTTATTTACTGAAACAGCATTGGGTGCAAGAAAATGTATGTAAGCATACATAATTTGTTTTTTTTACATGTCATTGAAGAACTAGCGATCTAATTATGACGTATTAGATTTATTCGTGTTACGTGGTGTTACGGAAAAACTTTGTCATTGTTTAGGAGAAACCAGCAGCTAAATTGTGACTTAGCTAAACCTATCCGTAGAATGAATCATTTTAATCATTTTACGCATAGGTTTCAATTTGCTTAAAAGCTCCATTCATTACCTCTAATCGATTCAGTAATTGTATTTGTAATTTTAACTGTAATTGTAATTGTAATTGGATTTGTAATTGTATTTATATTTGTATTTGTATTCGTATTTGTATGTATATTTGTATTTGTATTTATATTTATATTTGTAATTATATTTGTATTGGTATTTGTATTTATATTTATATTTATATTTGGATTTGTAATTGTATTTATATTAATATTTGTATTTATATTTGTGTTTGTATTCGTATTTATATTTGTATTTGTATTTGCATTAGTATTCGTATTTGTATTTATATTTGTATTTGTATTTGTATTTATATTTGTATTTGTATTTGTATTTGTATTTGTATTTGTATTTGCATTTATATTTGTATTTGTATTTGTATTTATATTTATATTTATATTTATATTTATATTTATATTTATATTTATATTTATATTTATATTTATATTTATATTTATATTTATATTTATATTTATATTTATATTTATATTTATATTTATATTTATATTTATATTTATATTTATATTTATATTTATATTTATATTGTATTTGTATTTATATTAATATTTGTATTTATATTTGTGTTTGTATTCGTATTTATATTTGTATTTGTATTTGCATTAGTATTCGTATTTGTATTTATATTTGTATTTATATTTGTATTTATATTAATATTTGTATTTATATTTGTATTTGTATTTGTATTTGCATTTATATTTGTATTTGTATTTATATTTGTATTTGTATTTGTATTTGCATTTATATTTGTATTTGTATTTATATTTGTATTTGTATTTGTATTTATATTTATATTTATATTTATATTTATATTTATATTTATATTTATATTTATATTTATATTTATATTTATATTTATATTTATATTTATATTTATATTTATATTTAGATTTGTATTTAATTAATTTTTGTATCTAATTGTTAATTTATATTGTATTTATATTTGTGTTTGTATTCGTATTTATATTTGTATTTGTATTTGTATTTGCATTAGTATTCGTATTTGTATTTATATTTGTATTTATATTTGTATTTATATTTATATTTGTATTTGTATTTGTATTATTGTAGTATTCGTATTTGTATTTGTATTATTATAGTATTCGTATTTGTATTTGTATTATTGTAGTATTCGTATTTGTATTTGTATTTATATTTATATTTGTATTTGTATATGTATTGGTATTAACATTTGAATTTGTAACAATTTGACTCTTCCGCCACCTAACAGTAGCAATGATAACCATCTGGCGAATGTTTTTCAGAGAAATTTGTGTCTATAATTTGTTCTATAGAAGGTGTTAATAAAATATAATGGGGTTTGTTAATATAATGAAAGCAGGATGAGAAAGATATAAGAAGAATTGAAATCTAAAATGGAGATTAGGTGAAGTAAAATTTGATAGGTCTTATCATAAGTAGAATATTGCAAAGCAGAAACATATACGAAGACGGAGTATGGGAAATGCCAGTTCCTTTCTAGGCCCCTTAAAATTATGTAGGCTAAAAAGGAAAAGTGAAATTGAAAATATAAAATATCCAATCATCGTAGTTGACAGTAAAATTGATTCAAATATTTATTTGCGTTCAACTTCTACCTCTCTGTAAATATTTTCTACCCCAGGATGTAACTTTTGCACTCAACAAGCGAGAGCACATCAAATATATGCTATAAACCCAATTATATGAACATTTGTATGTCCTTTCACATCACCTCTGCGCCTTGTTTACAGGTAATTATTTTCATGAGCATTTCGAAAAAGGTTTACTGCTGTATATTTACATTTTCATACATCAATTATACGGGCCATTTATTTGAATCAAGTAGTTTACATGTGTACATCTGTGTAACTTAAGCCCACTTGCTATTGGTCCAAAGCACACCTGCCGTTGCTTGCCGAAGTGACGCAAAACTTCGAGTTAATTTAAATTTGTAATTCAAATATTTGTGCCTCATTAAACATACATTTTCGATTGCTGTTTGCACAAAACATGTTAAGCCTATATAAACATTGGAAATGCGCCGGAAAATATGCAAAGTAGCTGTGCTATCCGGTATTTGGTTGGCTGCGGGTACAGAAAGGGTCACGTTGGGGCATTTAGTGGGTGGCCTTTTGTTTATTTTGCGCACATTCAAAAATCTGTGTGCCATGGAAATTTCACTCGCTTCGATTTCGCTGTTTGTTTGCGTTTGCTTTATATATGCTAATAGGCGCCGGAGAACGTGACGTATTTTGTGTAGTATTTATTTTGTTGGATATTTGTGCTTTTGACTGTTTTGTAACTGAAATATTTTAATAAGTATGATTTTGTTGTTTGTTTGCTTTATAAAAATGGATTATTTGGACATGTTTTTAAATCTATTATCTAATACATTGCATACTTTTGTGCGCGGACTAGTTGAAATGCGTTATTTGCGAAACTATATATTCTAGTTGGAAATGGATTCTTATGTATTAGTTTATGAATATAATTGAATAAATTATCACTTCAGTCTATTGAAATGTATTTAATGAAACTCTTAACCCTATAAGCAAACAATTGTTAGATTTTTTGTTTTGAAAATTATTCTCTAAACAATTTTTGCTTCTCAGTGCATTGTTGTAAGTTTAAATCATATTATATAATATTATATTTCCCCAAAATGTTCAAAATTTGCTTGCATAAGTGACAAGGTGTTGAAGAAGGTAAAATTTCGGGCATCATCCGTTGTTGTTAACCGCAAAGGATGCGCAATAAAGTTAATGGCATGTTAAATGTTTAAGACATTTGCTTACTTTCCTTTTTTAACAGACCATTTCCATAATATATGAGTTTTCTTCTCCCACAGATATTTTGTGTGCCGATTTAAACTCTTTTATTTTTATACCCTAAATAGAGTAGATTAAGTTTGTCATGAATCGATTGAGCCATGTTCGTCTGCCTATCCGTCTTTCGGTCTGTCTTGACACAAATCAAGGCATTGTGTAGCAAATTTTCTTATTTGACAAGATATCTTCAGGAAATTTGGCAGGGATTATTGTTTAATGCAGCGGTACAATCTCCGAATATATTGTTCAGATCGCACTACTATAGTATATACCGATCATATAAACTGACCTATCAAAATCAGGGTAAATATCTTTGTATACCCCTCTATGCTATAAGAAACACACTTGTAAAGGGTATTATAGCTGCGGTGCGGCCGAAGGTAACGTTTTTCCCTGTTTTTATTTTTATTTTGCTTCTTTATTTTAGCTGGAGAGTGCTGCTTTGTTTGCCAAAGTTTTATTTGCTCAGCTAATGTGAAGGAAAATTTATTTGTGTTTACTTTCTTTATTTTGCTTTGCTCTATATTTGTTCCTCTAAATGCTTACGTAATTTTCGTCTCGCAATATTTGCTGTTGTGATGTTTTTGTGATTTTTTTTCATTCTAAGTCCTTTGTACTTTTGTGATCCAATAGCGATAATATATTAAGGTCACGTAAGATTTCGTAAACGTCAGTTTCCTGGTCACGTTCTAATTTCTGAATTGATTCAAGTTTACCACGTGCTTTCGTATGTTTATGTGTTGATTGCTCTTATCCTTTTAGAGCCTTTTGAAAAGAGCTCGAACCAAAAATTTAATATTGCTGAAGATATATGAGAAACTTAAGAGATATTAGAAATTATGCTTCTTCTAAAAGCATATGTATATATTGTGTCACAGGCAAGCTTGCCTTATATAAGTCGGATAATGCGCGGCCATTAATATTATACAATCACATAGTACTTTAAATCCTTCAATTAACGCATTACCTGTTACAAATACAACAACAACATAAATATGCTTACAATAAAAAACGTAATCCCATTTAATTTTTATTTTTATACGTGTAACTAGTGCTTACAAACTTATGGGGGAATTATGCAAAGCGCTCGGCTAATTCCCTAGAATAGCGTCAAATAAGCATTATGCACTCACACACGTGCACTCAACCGGTTGCAGCAAAGCGTAGTTGCACAAAATTATGCCAAAGTGATGCAAATCTACATGGAACTTATTGCTATTGCTTTTGTAGTACATAAATAGTTGCACACACACTACTGCAAGTATATAGGCTGCTGGGAAGCGCAGCAGTGTCTCATCCATGTGTGCATTAAAAGTAGATGCGCATTTATCCTTTGTGTTGCACGTTCTCAGGGAGAAGTTATGGGTAAGTACTGCTTATAGGGTTTGCCAATTTTTATGGAGCAGTGATCATTGATATGTAGAGTATGTGGTTATGTCATTATGTGAGCATTCGAAAATTTATTTTTAAATATTTGCAATTATTTGTTGAACTATGTCGCTATACATGCATTTTTAAAGTGTTTCCTGTCACTATTTACTTCTTCACTCTTCCTCCTTTGGCCTTGTAACTGAATTATATATTTTTATATAACTTTTCCGTACAAAAATGTGTATGTAAGCAATCGAAAGTAACTTTTTTCCGCACACCTCAAATTATTAAAATTCGCGTACCAGTGCGTATACGCAACACGACGAGTGATCAAAGACAATAGCAACAGGTTTATTCATAAACAGAGTTGCGAATTTTTTAATTAATAAAATACGATTTTCAATTTCCAATTCTTATAATAAAA